TCCTCCTGCTCCTCCCCCTCCTCCTCCTTCTCCTTCTCCTCCTCCTCCTCCTCCTCCTCCTCCTCGTCCGCCTCGTCTTTCCGATCACGACCGAAACAAATGACGACGACGACGAACATGAGTCCCAAAAATATCCCGGGGGGCCCAAAACAGTCCCTGCATGGCCGAAGGGGCCCCCTGGACGGCCCTGGACGGCCCCCCCCAAAAACCAACCTGGCCCAAGAGGGCCTCCCGACGGCCAAGAGCGCTCCAACGCGGCCCAAGAGAACCGCAAGGGCGACGGCGACGACGACGACGACGGCGGCGCCGGCGGTGACAGCGGCGGCGGCGATGGCGGCGGTCGCGGCGGCGGCGGCGGAGGGCCCCCCCCCTGGCTCCCAGCGGGCGGTGCCGCCCGCGCCGAACGGGCGGCGCCCCCGCCGACGCTGGGCCGGCGCCGACGACGATGACGACGAAAAAGACGACGACGACGACGACTTCGACTTCGACTTCTTCTTCGACTTCGACATCGACGAGGACGAGGACGAGGACGAGGACGAGGACGAGGACGACGACGACACGACGACGACGACGACGACGACGACGACGACGACGACGACAGACGACGGACGACGGACGACGGACGACGGACGACGGACGACGAACGACGAACGACGACCACGAACAAAAATACGGAAAATACGCGACGACGAAAAAGACGACGATGACGACGACGACGACGACGACCACGACCACGACGACGACGACGACGAGAACGAGGACGAGGACGACGACGGACGACGACGGACGACGACGGACGACGGACGACGGACGACGGACGACGGACGACGACGACGACGACGACGACGACGACGACGACGACGACAGCGACGGACGACGGACGACGGCCGACGGACGACGGACGACGGACGACGGACGACGAACGACGAACGACGAACGACGAACGACGATGACTATGACGAAAGGGGCGCAACGGGATAACGATCCATGATGTTCATGCGGGCCACGCCTGGGCTTCGTCCGGGCTGCGCGTCCTCCGCCTCCTCCTCCTCCTCCTCCTCCTCCTCCTCCTCCTCCTCCTCCTCCCTCCTCCTCCTCCTCCTCCTTCTCCTCCCCCTCCTCCTCCTCCTCCGCCTCCTCCTCCTCCTCCTCCCTCCTCTCCCTCCTCGGCGTCCTCCTCCTCCTCCTTCTCCTCCTCCTCCTCCTTCGCCTCCCCTTCCCCCTCCTCTCCCTTCCCCCCTCCTCTCCGTTTCCTCCGCCTCCTCCTCCTCCTCCTCCTCCTCCTCCTCTCCTCCTCCTCCGTTGCTCCCAGCGATGCCCCCGACAAGCCACGGGCAGCCTCACTGCGAGGCCGAGGTGCTCTTCGGAACCTTCCTGGCGCCTCTGCCGGCGCCGTCCGCGGCGGGCCTCTTCCTGGCTGCAGCGCCCGGGGGCGTCCTCTTGGCCTGGCGGGGCCCCGCCGCAGCGCCTGGCAACGGCGTCGTGCCCGCGCGCGCCTTCGGCGACGTCTTCTTGGCCCGCAGCGCCGGCCGACGGCTTCTGGCCCGCGCGCGCCTTGGCCACGGCAGCCGGCGACGCCGCCAGCACCCCAATGGCGCCCTTGCTGCCGCTCCACCCCGACCGCCCGAAGAACGAGGAGGGCGTGACATCGTTCATGTGCGAGCGGATGAAATGTGCGTGCGCGGCACCCAGCTTCGCCATGCCTGGGTTGTGCGACAGGAAGAGGCTGCACATGCCGTGGGCCGAAGAATGCTTGGCCGCTTGCCCGCGATGGACCGCCCTACCCTGCATGCCGCTCCGGCTGTTGCCCCGGGCACCCTCGGCAGCCTGGTTGCCGCCCGTCACTCTGATTGATGCGGATGGCCCGCTCATCGTGCCCATGCCTGTCAAGACCTGCGCGAGCGCGGGAGAGACGCTATTCTTGTCGAGGAGCTGCAACCTGCAGAACTGCCCGTTCGGTCTGCGCCCGTGCAACGCCGTGGCTAATGGCACCCCCGCCTTGGCAACTGCGCTCTTGATCGCCAGGCCGCCGTCGGCGCATGCGATGGCGCCACTGCGCAAGGACGAGAGCACCGCGCCCTCGATGTCAGCGAGGGGTTCCGGAGGAAACGCGTCGCCCTTCCGCGCAGGCACGCCCGCTGCGGCACTGCTTTCCTCCTTCCCGTGGATCTCTCCTTGAAAAACCAGATGCGCCCGCTGTGGATGTTCAAGTCCGACTCCTTGCCCCGCAGCCGGCGTCGCACGTGCGTCTTGGAAGCGTCCATGTCAACCTCCGCGGCGTTGAAGCACATGCCCCGGCCGAGCTCCTCCATGAACCACGCGAACACGTCGCGGTGGCACGCGAAGACCCGGGAGACCATGTCCTCCGAGGCACCCGTCAAGAATTCCGTTTGATCCACCCGGCATTGGAGACTGAAGCAATAGCTGATCCGCAAGTACTGCTCGTGCGTCATCACTTTGGCCCCGTGGAGCGGCGCGAACGCCGTCTCGCCGTTGTGCCACTTCCTGCAGGAGGTCCTGCTGCAACGAAAGACGCTCTTCACACCCTGGAACGACTTCTTGTCCATCCGCGAGCCGCACTTCCAGCAGGTCCTGGTCACCGCCGGGGGCAACGGCGGCATGAACCCCCACTTGCGCCACTCGGCCGCGGCCTTGTCGCCGCGCAGGGCAACTATCTTCACATAGCCGTCCTGCTCTATACCGCGAAATACGGTGCCCCTTAGCTGGGGCTTCGCCCCGCCAGTCTCCTTGTAGGAGTACGCAGGGGAGAACGGGTAGGGCTGCGAGGAGCCGCGCGCCCCAGGGGCCTGGGGCGCGGACCGCTGCCGAGGTATTCCTCGCGCAGTGATGGCGCCCCTGCTGGCCGTCGCGCTCGCCCCGGGCGCCGCCTTGCCCTGTTGGCGCCGTCGCGGCGCGGCGATGGCGCCAGTGCTGGCCGTCGCGCCCGTGTTGGCGGCGGTCGCGGCGGTGGCCTTGCCCCGGCTAGCAGCCCCGCCAGCGGCTCCCCGCGCCTCTGCGGCCATGGCCATGTCCCGGGCGCTCATGACCGGGCCCAGCCCGCAGAACGGGTTCAGGCACACAGAGGACCCGCCCATCAGGAAGGCGCCGCATTTGCCGCACTGGTCGCCAGGTAGTGGTGGCGGTGCTGGTGGTGCTGCTGGTGGCGGCGCTGCTGTCTCTGCAAAACACTGCGCGTTGGTGCATTTCTGGGTGGCGGGGTCCACCGCGAACCCGCAGAAGTGGCAATGGCGCCCAATGCTGGCAGCAGGCAGGGCCATGGGGCCGACACACTCCTTTGTAGCAGCCTCCGTCAACTTGCACTGTAACCAGCTTCGCAGCTCGGATACCACACCCTTGCGTACATGGGCAACAGCTCTCCGCCAACCTTGCGCCGCCTCAAAATCTCGGGGGCCCGTTCATGTGCTTAAGCGCCTGCACGGCGAAGTGGACGGCGAAGACCCCGCAATCGTACCCATTACTCTGTTTCTGGCACTTGACCACCTGGACGTCCGCGGAGGGTCCAAATAACATGCGAGCCATTCTCGAAGCATGCCATGCATTGCCTGGCGCCCCCCCTGAGTCGAGGTGGGCGTATCTCCACCTGCCTTTGCCGCCAGCCCAGCCTATCAGAAAACTCCAATGTGTGCCGGAATCGGCAACCGCGAGCGAACCATTGCTGACAGGTGCGATGACCAGGGTGGCCGCGCCCACCGACTGCCGCACCTCTGCGAGAAGAACCTGCTGCTCTGCCTCCGACTGGACTTGCGCCGCCCACTGCGCCACCGCAGCATCGAGGCCCTCGTCCCTTTCGACCGCCTCAATCACAATAGTCACGCCCTCGTCGTCAGGCCCCCCAGGGGGCTTCCCAGGAGGCCTGTCAGGAGGCCCAAGAGGCCTCCCAGGAGGCCCCAGTGGCCTCTCAGGAGGCCCATGAGGCATCTCAGGACGCCAAAGACGCCTCTCGGGATACCCAAGGGGCCTGTCGGGAGGCTCAAGAAACCTCACAGGAGGCCCAAGAGGCCTCTGAGGAGGCCCCAGAGGCCTCTCAGGAGGCTCCAGAGGCATCTCAGGAGGCCCAAGAGGCCTCTCAGGAGGCCCAAGAGGCCTCTCAGGAGGCACAAAGAGCCAAAGAGGCTTCTCAGGAGGCCCAGGAGACCCCAGAGGCATCTCAGGAGGCCAAACAGGAGGCCCAAGATGCCTCTCAGGAGGCCCAAGAGGCCTTCCAGAAGGCCCAAGAGGCCTCTCAGGAGGCCCAAGAGGTCTCCCCAGGAGGCCCCCCAAGAGGCCCCCCAGGAGCCCCAAGAGGCCCCTCACGAGGCACAGGAGGCACCTGAGGAGGCCCCAGGGGCCTCTCAGGAGGCCCAAGAGGCCTCTCAGGAGGCCCAAGAGGCCTCTCAGGAAGCCCATAAGGGGCTTCCCAGGAAGTCCAACGAGGCCTCAGGAAGCCAACGATGCCTCCCAGGAGGCCCAATACGCCTCCCAGGACGCCCAATAGGCCTCCCAGGATGCCCCAGAGGCCTCCCAGGAGGCCCAAGAGGCCTCCCAATCACCACCATCAGCAGCAGCATCATCATCATCACCATCACCATCACCATCATCATCGTCATCATCGTCATCGTCACCATCACCATCATCATCGTCGGTGTCATTGTCGTCGTCCTCATCGTCACCACCGCCATCATCATCATCATCATCACCACCATCATCAGCACCATCATCATCATCATCACCACCAGCGTCATCAACATCATCATCATCCGCAGCATTACCATCATGAGCATCATCCGCATCACCACCACCACTACCACCGCCACCATCATCGTCGTCGTCATCAGCATCACCAGCAGCAGCATCGGCATCACAGTCATCATCCTCATCAGCACCACCATCAGCATCAGCACCACCACCAGCATAATCATCATCCTCATGATCATCATCACCACCATCATCATCGTCATCGTCGTCATCATCGTCGTCGTCATCGTCATCATGATCATCATCATCATCATCATCATCATCGTCGTCATACTCACCATCACCATCAGAAGATCATCATCATCATCATCATCAACACCTACATCAGCATCATCATCACGCCCTCGTCCCGTTCGACCGCCTCAATCACACTCGTCACGCCCTCGTCGTCAGGCCTCCCAGGATCATCATCGTCGTCATACTCACCATCACCATCAGAAGATCATCATCATCATCATCATCAACACCTACATCAGCATCATCATCACGCCCTCGTCCCGTTCGACCGCCTCAATCACACTCGTCACGCCCTCGTCGTCAGGCCTCCCAGGAGGCTTCCCAGGAGGCCCTAGAGGTCTGTCAGGAGGCCCAAGAGGCCTGCCAGGGGGCCCCACAGGCCTCTCAGGAGGCCCAATAGGCCCCCCAGCATGCCAAAGCGGCCTCTCAGGATGCCCAAGGGGCCTGTCGGGAGGCACAAGAAACCTCACAGGAGGCCCAAAAGGCCTCTGAGAAGCCTTCAGAGGCCTCTCAGGAGGCCTCAGAGGCCTCTCAGGAGGCCCAAGAGGCTTCCCTGGAGGCCCAATAGGCCTCTCAGGAGGCCCAAGAGGCCTCCCACATGAGGCCAAAGAGGCCTCCCAGGAGGCCCAAGAGGCCTCCCAGGGGGGCCAAGAAGCTTCTCAGGACGCCCAAGAAGCCCCTCAGGATGCCAAAGAGGCGTCTCAGGAGGCCCAATCGGTCTCTCAGGAGGCCCAAGAGGCCTTCCAGAAGACCCAAGAGGCCTCTCATAGGAGGCCCAAGAGGCCTCCCAGGAGGCCCCCCAGGAGCCCCAAGAGGCCTCTCAGGAGGCCCAAGAGGCCGCTGAGGAGGCCCCAGAGGCCTCTCAGGAGGCCCAAGAAGCCTCTCAGGAGGCCCAAAGGGCTTCCCAGAAGGCCTAAAGAGGCTTCAGGAAGCCAAAGAGGCCTCCCATGATGCCCAATAGGCTTCACAGGAAGCCCCATACGCCTCCCAGGAAGCCCCAGGGGCCTCCCAGGAGGCCCAAGAGGCCTCCCAGGATGCCCAAGAGGCCTCCCAGGAGGCCCCAAAGGTTTCTCAGGAGGCCCAAGAGGCCTCTCGAGAGGCCCAAGAGGCCTCTCAGGAGGCCCAAGGAGCCTCCCAGGATACCCAAGAGGCCTCTCAGGAAGACTAAGACGGCTTCCCAGGAGGCCCCGCACGCCCCGCGCGCCTTGCGCGCCTCGCGCGCAGCGCGCGCCACGCGCGTCCCGCGCGCC